GATTAGAACTCACAATCTTCCAGAGATTGGCCCAAAGTCAACTAGACACCTTTCAGGCCTAAGGCAGGACTAGAACTCACCGTCTCCTTGCCTGGTGCCTTAACCACTCCAGTTGACTGGCTCTCTTTCGATGAGCAAAACAGAACCGGAACAGAATTGTTTTAAATAAGGGGGAGGGACGGGGGTTGAGAACGTCAAGTCCCTCATTGTACCATCTCGAGGCATGCTGGCCGGGGAATTCTGGGAGTTGAAGTCCCACCCCTCCTAAAAATCGCCAAGGTTCAGAAACGCTGCCATGGAGACCATGCCAGACGCTGCCATGGAGACTCACTTGCTACAATTGATGACGACGTCTTCTGGCATTATCCTCTTCTTCAGCATCCCCATTTTGGGGTGGTCCCCACGGCCCCGGAAGAGACCCGGCGGTTCAGTTCTGAAGTTCCCGATCTTCTCCCGATGCCCATCAATCACGCAATAACCATATTCCTCTTGGATTCTCTCTGCCTCCTCTTTCAACCTCTATTGAGAGGAGACACAAAAAAAAGAAGGGATTACGGATAAGTCTTTGACACACGGTCGAAAAGCGAGCCCGAAACTTCTAAGCTGCTAAGCGAAACGTTGGTTGAGTTCTGCTCCATTTTACGACCTTTCTTGCCACAGCTGTTAAGTGAATCACTCACCCTCCTCTTTTAACGGCCCCATAATCCCTTGCGGGGTGGAGTCTGGGCAACTGAATGGAGCTAGCAGAGTGTTTACTGGCCAGATGCCCTTCCTGTTGCCGGTACAGAGTTTTGTTCAGCTGATAATACTCTCAGTGTGCCCAGAGAGAGAAATATCTGCTTCTCCCTAGGATCGAAACTCACAGCCTCCGGATGGTGAGGCGAGAGCTCCACCGCTAGGCCAGTGCGCCACTCCTATTAAGTGAATCCCTGCAGCTGTTGAATTAGTCAAACCGTTGTTAAGTGAATCGGGCTTCCTCCTTGACTTTGCTCGGCGGAAGGTCACAAAAAGGGATCACGGGACCCCGGGACACTGTGACTGTCATAAATACAAGTCAGTCGCCGAGCGTCTTTTTAATTTTGATCACGTGACCCTGGGGGCTTACCGTAAAGGCCTTGTGAAAAATGGTTGTCTCTTTTCAGGGCCGTTGTAACTTTGAACGGTCACTAAACGAACTGTTGTCAGTTGAGAACTACCCTCTATTTCCCATACGCCTAATCTAGATAAAGGTGAAAGGGAACGAAGCGCTGGATTGTACAAATGACAGGCAACACCATGAAGCTTCAAGACACTTTTGAAGAATGGGGACAGAGACTTGTGGGTACAATGGCAGAAATAATGTTTAGTTACGTGAATGTATTACTTAAAAGCTAAAGGTTCCCCTCGCACATCCGTGCTAGTCGTTTCCGCCTCTAGGGGGCAGTGCTCATCTCTGCTACAAAGCCAAAGAGCCAGCGCTGTCCTAAGATGTCTCCGTGGTCATGTGGCCGGCATGACTAAACGCTGAAGGCGCACAGAACACAGTTGTGGTTCGCCGGCAGCAGGTGGGGACGGCTGAGGTCTCGGAGAGCGAGGACTCAGATGAAGGGCCTGCGTGTGATGCAGGGATGGGACCAGGACCATCAGGGAGTGGAGTGCTGCCTTTGGAGATTGTGGAGGCTGGTAGCAGTGATGAGGAGGTCCCCGAGGAGCCTGCGCGCGAAGGGCTGCTCAAAGGAAAGAGCAGCTGCAGCAGCACAGGCGACTCGGGAGTAAGGCTGCAAGGTGATGGCCCCTCCCTTAAGAGATGAAAGCCAGCTGAGAAACCGGAATTCTTTGCAGGAAGCAAAGAAGTTTTTGCACTCAAGCCCGGTGGACGTTCAGAGTATCTTGGTTGGTGTTTGGAGATTCTTTGATTTATTGTTTAGGAACTTTATCTGTTGTTCTTGGCAGCCTTGCAAAAACTGGGCAGGGCTCTTTCTTGTGGGAGCTAATTAGTTGGAAGCAGCCTTTTATCTGTGAAGAAACAGGATTCGTAAATGAAACAGTAAAAGGTTGCGCTGTTACCCTTGTCTTGTGTTTACTCTCATGGAACCAGGTTTGGGTCAGAACAAGAACACTGTTCCCTTCCCATCAAAGGTGGTCCCTATTTTTCTACTTGCATTTTTTTTTTTTTTACATGCTTTCGAACTGCTAGGTTGGCAGAAGCTGGGACGACGAACGGGAGCTCACTCCATTATGCGGCGCTAGGGATTTGAACCGCCGAACTGCTGAACTTTCTGATCGACAAGCTCAGCGTCTTAGCCCCTGAGCCACCGCCTATGTATTACTTACAAGAGGAGAAAATTGGGGGAAGAATACAGGTTACAGGATGAAAAGGGGAAACAAGAAGCTTAATGCAGATTTACTAGAAAATTACTATTTTCTAGTAAATTACTGTCTCTCTCTCCGCATTACTAAGACAGAAATGGTAGTTGAAGTGAAAATGCAAATGACAAGGTAACTAGATAATCTAATAATCAGTGCTAAGAGGGAGTGGGGTTTGTGGAATGGAGGAGGAGGAGGAGGAGGAGGAGGAGGAGGAGGAGGAGGAGGAGGAAAAAAACAGCCTGTGAGATCCTTGGTGTTTCCTGAGCTTCATTGCTTCCTTGCAGACATTTCATGAAACCCAACTAAGTAACATCATCAGTGCTAGGAACAAGAGGAGGAGGACGACTTTGGGATCCTTGATGTTCTTCTGAGCTTGGTTTTCTTGAAGACATTTCGTGACCCAACTTGATAACATCATCAGTGCCAGAAGGGGAGTGAGTTTACTCTCTGTTTCTATACATGTGGCTTGCCCTGTCAGTGTTGATGTGAATGCCTTGATTAGGCTGTTGTTTACTCTTTGTTGCATATAAACGACACTTGCACACAAACAGAGAGCAGACTCAGAAATGGACTTCCTTCAGAAGGTCCGCCGAGTTTCAACAAGGAGTGAAAAAGGCCTCAGTGTAACTCATAAAATATTTCTAGGGTCTTTTTAGAGCTGCCGACAGAAAGGGAGGGGGCAGCAGTGTGGCAGCTTGCAAAACCGAAACTGCATTCCATAAATGCTTTCAAAGATAGTAACTAGGTGACTAAAGTTTCTGCCGTGCAAAATTCTCACAGGAGAGTATGATTGATGACTCTGGGCTAGGGAGGTGTCCCATTGGAGAATATTAATTATGATACACCCAGGGGGGTGGAGGGAAAACCAGGGTCAAGGGTGACAATGAATTATGTCTCTCAGAGTCAGTTACACCCAGGCAGTGCCGGATATGTTAACTCCCAATAAATCCTTTTGAAGTTTTGGAAGTTTGGCTCGAGACTCGGGATTGAAATGGAGGTCACTGCCGGAATCCTGACACTCAGGTTCTACCAACGTCAATCATGTCTGCACCTGTTTTTCTTCCTTGGGCAAAGCCTTCTGGGCTTCCTGCTTTTCCAGAAAGTAGTTATGGATGTCACTGAAATCGCACCTCTTCAGGTCTTTGATTTTCTTCCTTTCTTGAGGAGTCATCACCTACATGAGAAAAGGAGAAGGCCATTAAGTGCTAAAAGCTGTAGTTGACTTAGAAAACAAGTTATCTTCAATACGATACCTTCTAAACCAGGATTTCTCCACCTTGGCAATTTTAAGTGTGGACTTCAAACTCCCAGAATCCCCCAGACAGCACAGCAACTTTAAGTATGGACTTCCACTCCCAGAATTCCCTGTGCAACATGGCTACTTTATGCAACGTGGACTTCAACTCCCAGAATCCCCCAGACAGCATGCCTTACTTTAAGAAGTATGGACTTCAATTCCCAGAATTGGCGTAGTCAGCATGACTACTTTGAGAAGGGTGGACTCCAAGTCCCAGAACCCTCCTAGCCAGTATAACCACTTGAAGAAGCAGGTATAAAAGACAGAATAGCCAGGGCTCTCCCAACTTGGCAACTTGTGGACTTCAATTCCCAGAATTAAGTCTTAAAGTTGAATTCTGGGAATTGAAGTCCACAAGTCTTAAAGTTGCCATGTTTGAACATTCTGTCCTAAGCAACCTCATCATCCTGTCACTTTCACCTTTCCATCATTCTGCTTTTTTTGGAGGGGGGGGGAGGCACTTCCCCTATAATAATCTCCCAAATAGCCCTCACGTATCCCCCAGCAGATACCTGCATCCAATCACAGAAAAAGTTGTCCTGGAAAATCTTCTTGCGTGCATAATCGTGGTCCAGCATCTTGGCGAAAAACGTCGCCACTTCCTCGGCGGCCCGGCTGAGTTTCATAGGCCTGCCTACAACAGAGGGAGAGGGGTGGATGACCATGCAGTGAGTAGCTGATGAGGCATGGCTATCCTTTCATCATAGTAAGGACCAACTCTTCTCTCCACCCGCCTACGAAGCTCAGGAGATGCTACTACAGGCAGTTTCTCCTCCACTTTGGAGGCAAATCCAGAGAAAACCACCTACCATTGTAGTAGAATTTGACGGATCTTGGGAGTGGCTCGTAAGGTGGAGCAAAGTAAGGTCCTTTGTGGTGCAACTTATGCCATTTGACCCCGTCGTCTTGTTTCTCCTCTTCCCACCTGCCGAGAGGAAATTTGGAAAGGGTTAACATCATCCGAGAAGACCCAGAACCTCTTGGGTGTATCGTTTTATCCCTAAATCTTTTTTTTTTCCTCAGTCTCAATGTCCTAACTCTTCCTTTTTTTAAAAAAAACAAAAAACTTTATTGATTATAGAACTAAACTATCAAACAAACACATACACAACACACAGAAAAAGAAAAAGAAAAAGGAAAAAAAGAAAATGATTAAAAACTAACTGTTAGTTTTTAATCGTTGTTAGCTAACTCTTCTTAACAGTGTGATGACCCGGGGCATGGCACAAAGGCAACACAGTCACATAAGTAAGAAAAGCCCCTTCAATTCTGTGTCTCTAACTTTGCCCCCAATGTCCAGTTACCTTCGGATTGAGAAAAAAACTCTCCCAAGAACAGTCTTGAAGTGGAGGAAATTCAGTCCGAAAACAAAGTACATATAAACTGTAAATAAAAATCCACACAAACCACGCTGCAGCAATTAACTGGACAGTGCAGAAGGAATTGCAGACTTCAAAAGATAACGAAACACACACAGTTGGGAGACTCCAGAACCCAGATAAGACTTGACAAACAAGGATAATTCACGCTTTGCTTTCAGCAAGGTGCTGTGCGCAAACGCCCTTTTGAAATCCTGTTTTCCCAGCTGCAGCTAATGAAGGGAATCAGGGCCCTTTCCTCCCCCGTAAGACACGCCATCCACCTTGCTCCCTTCTCCGTTCCTCTCTGCGTGCCTTAGGATGAAGAGGGGGTGGGCCTGGGTCTTCTTCTGCATTCCCAGCCGGACTGTGCCCTTCCCCAGTTTCTTCCCCAGCCAATGTAGCCACACTCGCACTCTGTCAGCTGCTCGGCCTCCCCCTCGGAATCAGATTCTGACAGGGGCATGACAAAAAGTATGACATCTAATCTTCTCCTTATAAATTTGGAACTCAATAACGATAGGCTTGCAGGTTCAATGTTGGGGGGGGTTTAAGTAGGGGAGAAATGAAGGGATTCACCATCAAAAGAACTTCAAGATTCTGAGTGCCTTTTTCAAGATTTAGAAGTAAAGTTCTTAAAGGCCAAATCAAAAGTTTGAGACGTTTGTCAGCAAGAATTTTATTTAAATGACCAGAACTTTTTTCTTCTTGGGTTTAATGGAAAAAGAATTGTGGGGAAAAAAATTGGAAGTCTGTTATTATATATGTTGACAGCAGCAAGACTATTGCGTGCACAAAAATGGAAGGAGGCTTCGATTCCTACCAGGGACAAAGGGTTGCAGAAGTTGATGGAGTTGGCTGAAATAGCAAAACTGACAACTTTGAAAAGAACATAAGTACTTTTATTTCCACTTGGAAACCACTTCTGAACTTCGTGCTTGAAGTGGAAAAGGATGCGATTTTGATTTTGGGTTTTACCGAATAGATTGATAGATCTTGGGGTGATTACGGCTGCAAGACTAGTACATGCTCAAAAATGGAAACTTAAGGAAATTCCAGATGAAATAGAGATAATTAAGAAGATATGAATGTGTAGAAATGGATAAATTAATGCAGGAATTAAAAAACAAACACGAATCTGAATATTGTAAAGTATGGGGAAAGTTTTACGACTGGTTGGTAAAAAGGAAGGATTCAAAATGTAAATTAAAATAAGGATGTTAAAACGACAGATCAGGATTAATTAAAAAATGTTGATATTGATGTATATATTACGGTATGTATTATGTATATACTATGTAAATATGTATTATTTATCATATGTAATAGCTATGTAAGACAATTAGGTGAGTCAGGATGATTACACTACGTTCACTGTTTTTAAATGGTTTTTTTTTTTTTGTTTAATTAAAAGTTATTTTAAAAAAAGGATAGATCTTGGGGTTGGACTAGATGATCTACAAGGTCCCTTCCAACTCTGTTAACCTAATCTAATCTTTACAGAAATGGCTTGTTCATATTATTATGAAATAGCCAAAAGTTGTGATTTGATGTTAATGCCTTATTTTACTGCTACAGAGAGTTGGAAGTCAATCTTTCTTTCTCTCTTTTTTTTCCTTATCCTTCTTCTCTTCTCTTCCCCTCTTCCTCCCCACTGTTTTTCTATTTACTTTTGTATTTTGTATCTTATAATATTTTATTTTATCACTCACTAAAAATGTTAAGAATTCTATTTATATGATAAACAAGTTTATATGAGCTGATTGTGACTCTCAAAGAGAGCTGCAGAAAAGCAAACACATTTTTAACTTGCTTTAAGAAAAGCCTGCAGGATCAGCTTACCATATTCCTAGGAAGCAGTATTTTAAAAAAAAAAAAAAGTACTGAGGACTAGTGCCTTGGGCAAAGGTTGGACTAGAAGACCTCCCAAGTCCCTCCCTTCCAGCCGTAGGATTCCACTATTTCCAAATTAAGCCATAATGCCACTAAGAATAATTGGCTAGAATAGACTAGAATTCTTTATTGGCCAAGTGTGATTGGACACACAAAGAATTCGTCTCCTGTGCATAAACCCTCAGGGTACATAAAAGATATAAGTGAACGATCATGATCATAATCATCATTAAAAAATGCATTTATCATAAATCTTAAGATACAACTCTTAGTGATAGTCAATAGGATACTACAGTAAATAAGCAACCAACATAAACCATACTAGGAAATTAAATAAACCAAACAAACCAATATGAATTGTAAAGATACAAGCAACAAAGTTATAGTCCTAAGTAGATAGGAAAGATGAGAAAAAGAATAGTAATACAGTCTTACTAAATAGTTGTAACAGTATTGTGGAAATTAGTTGTTTAGCAAGAGTGATGGCATGGGGGGAAACCACATCTCCTATACTCAATCAATCAATCAATCATAATGGAGCTGTAAGGGACCTTGGAGGTCTTCTAGTCCACCCACTTGGAAGAAAAATGCAGCAAAATCCAAAGAAAATTTATTACAAAGAGCATCAAACCAGCCTTCCCTTTCATGCTTCCTAATGCCCAGCAACGCTGGAGATCTCCCACGCTCCTCCTGCACACCCATCCCGCAAAGACACGTGTCTCCGCCGGCAAACCTTGAAGGCAATACACTGTACCTCGCTTTGGGAGCCAGCACTCGGATGCACGCTGCACGAATCCGGGTGAAAGTCAGGGGCACAACCAGGCGGGAGCATCGTGTCCACTGTGCTAGGCTGTGCCCATGCTTGAGCATGCCTTGCCAGCCCAGTCATGTGCAGCTGGCCACATGGATGGATTGGAGGGTGCTGGGGGAGGGAGGCAACCCTGGTTTAGCACTCCCCACTTTGCAAAAAGCAAATATATTTCATTTTGCAAAAATTAAACAGGCCTCGCGTGGTGCTCTTTCCTGCACATCGGGGCATCGTGCAAAAAGGAGGCAGTCAAATGTTCCACCCCGCTATGAGTCTTTTTGCTACGAGACTCTGGTGCAATTACAGCCCCCACCACCCCCACCATGGCCATGTCCCGAGGCACCTGGGAAATGTAGTCTTGTTAAGTATTTCCTGGCTTAGGGACAACTAATGGATACCAGAGCAATCGAGCTCGCTTAAAGAGACAGGCGTCTTTCTTAGTCAGGAAGTCATGCTGTGATTCAGTGTTTCTCAACTTTCACCTCTTTAATAAGGTGGGTGGACTTCAACTCCCAGAATCCCCCACCCTGCATGTTTTAAGGTGGGTGGACTTCAACTCCCAGAATTCCCCAGCCAGGAGGTTGTAAATATGGGTGGACTTCAACTCCCAGAATCCTGACTGGGGAATTCTGGGAGTTGAAGTCCACCCATCTAAAAATTTTAAGAAACTTTAGGCTAGACTGAGATAGGATCTAAGCCAGGGTCAGCTGAACTCTAAGCAATCCCCAAAGCTTTCATCCTGCAAATAAAATTTGTCAGTTGGAAAAGGTGCTTCCTTCTGATTTTTAATTGCAATTCACAATTGCAATTTTAATGCATCCAGTAATTTTGTTGGAAGGTGATCGCTATTTTAATGAACAATGCATCTGTCTTAACAGTTTACTCCAACTCTGTGCTCTCTAGATGGGCTACTCTACAGAATTTAACATGTCAGTTCCTTCTGGGAGTTGTAGTCCAGACACCAATGCATTTTGGGAGGTGTAGTCCAAGGCACCAGATGAAAGAACTGGCAGAAACTCAAAACTGAATCCTTAGATGACATCTAGTGGATAAATAGAAGAACAGCAGGAATAAAGCAGCATAATAATTATGAAACTTCTTGTAAATATTATAGGAGGGTCTACAACAGCCAAAAAAAAATCAGAAGCAACAACAAACAAATTCAGAAAAAGTCTGGTAGCACCTAGCTAAGATTAACTCGTAGCATTGAAAGGCTTACAACTTTTTTATACCTGACGTAATTTACTTATCATTCTTATTACCCAGCTCATCGCTTTCCAATGTCTTTTCAAATAAATGTGGAAACCTTTGCAAATTCAATAAATCGATCTTAACCTGCCTCAAACTAACTAACTCCCAAAAATAGTGGGGGCACTTAGATGTTGAAAAGTAATAGCAGCCCTGTTTTCCTCAGCCCAAACTTCCTAACTCTACTTTAGATCATCTCATCTTTTATTTATTTATTTTATTTATTTTATTTATTTATTTGATTTGCCAATTGTTTACAAGATAATAAGTATAAGTGTATACATAGTTGTGAATACATGAAATGGGTACATATAAGAAAAATAAAAGAA